TGTTTGAGTAACCGCGGGTGAAGAAAGCATTCACGTTTCACCCACGCATGAACGCGTGAAATTTGATGTAACTCTGCAACCGAAGCATCCAGAGCGCAGAATTTTTTGGGCGTGGATTGAGAGTCATTGTAATAATTTCTGACAGCCATGGTGGCCAGTCCCAATTCTTTAGCTAGAAAAATCTGCCGGAAAGAACGTGCCACTGGCGAAAAAAACCTGCGGGGGAACTGTGCAAAAAACGCATCCTCATAGCGGCAGTCGGTACGCTTTCGACTAAGTTTATTCATTTGCATAAAACTGGGAACAGTGACGTGCTCAGACCTTCGCGACTGTAAAGAGTGACTTGACGATTGGAGCCACACATTACTAAAAATTGGCCATAGTTGAAATATTCAATCGCCGTTGGATCATAGCCAAGTTTTTTGTCATTTCGGATGACCTGTAACCCACTGCATTAATCGTGCAATGATTCACTCCGAGGCACCAGTGGAAATGCTTTTGGCTAAAGTGATTGCATTGTGGACAGCCATTTTTGTGATCTGAGTTACAGCGAATGTAAATGGCCGTTCCTGGAAAACTCTCGCCAGAGGTATGTACGCTTGCTCACAATACAAGACTACTTTTTGCCACGGTAAATGAATTTTGCCAATACGCCATTCATTATTTGACATTCCTTTTCGATTTTGAGAGCTCCTGACTATGTAAATTATTGTAGAGGATTTGATGTAGTGCTAGTGTTTATGCAAATGCTGTTCGCCTGTAAACAGCTCTGGTCGCGCGTAACGCACCTATTATCTTCCTGTAATATTTTATAATACTATAACGTTTCTGTTAGCAAAATCTTTTCAAGAATTTGCAAGGGAACATTCGTGACAAAATTTGCCCCAAACCGAATATTTAGAGATGCACCAAAAATCACAAAAATTATTCCGTAAAGCAGCGATCATCAAGGCACTAAGTTTCTAGTTATGGACCTAAAAAAAGCATCATAAGTGTAAAATAAGCGCAATATTCCGAATTCTATCCGAATGATACTTCCGAAGTCAAAGGCTGTGAAAGGCAACTTTTGGGTATGTGGAGGCTAAAATTGCAAACGCATTAAGATTCATATAAAGGCGCAGCTTTAGCAATCGATAGCTTCCACTTTTATCAGTCTTTGTTGGTTAGCTGCGCCACGGACTTTTCAGGAATATGGCTTCCCACTACAGTTAATTGATCTCCGGATATCGTAATTTATCGAGTGGTTTGCAAGAAAATAAAACATCTATTCCATTTGGCCTGGAAATACCTGAGATTCAAGAGCTAGCCCATATTCACTAGAAAAATCAAATTTTGCTTGAAACGGTCAAGCCCGTGGAGAATAAAGGAGCATTGTCGCTCTTTATGCCACACAGAGTAAGATTTGTACTGAAGAGCATTTAATTGCGAAACACTACGTAGTCAATGTAGTTAGACTTGACAAGTATAAAAAGTTCATGCAAATACGGAGCACGCTTTGTAGACTATATTCTTACCTGATTTCCATCCAAATCATAAAAAGCAGCTGTTTGTCCCCAATCAGCTACTGCCAATAGTTCACCGAAAAAACTATAAATTATACGCAATCTTTTTGAATAAAAAAACTTCAATAATGTTGATGAAATTAAGCAGTGCGACGAGTACTTTTGGGATCCGGATCGTTGGTGACAAAAAGGAGCAGGGCGATAGCTGATCAAAATTTCACAGTAGCGTAAGAAATTCAATTGGACTACAACCTCATCATCGTGAATTTTCCAGAGTGTGACATATTATAAAAAGAAATAGGAAGCATTAGCTTTGAATCAGGTACATCAAATTCAATGAAACATTCGCTTACTTCTCGTGTGAATTGCTGCCACTGCGCTGCCGTAATGCATCACTGCAAAAGAAGTAATTTAGTCGATGTGAAATTTTCCAAAAAAAGGAATCCAAAAATTGGTTTGAAACATGGACACTGTTAACTTACGCAGGACTACGCGCAGGTCCAAAAGCCACCGCCCAAACCGGTTCACCAGAAGAGCGTTCGATTTTTTTTACTTCCGCGCCGGTCTAAAATATGAATACGCAAAATGTAAAAAAGAAAAAAAAAGCGAAACGTGTGGGCCGATTATGAGCTTTATCTATTAAATTTATCATGACTGCAAGAAAACTGTGAGGAAAAAGTTGAAATTTCTGAGCTGCAGAAGTTTTACGAGTCAACGATTTCTCGAAGTAACACGTAACGAACTAGCCGCATATCTGGGAACATACTTTTTTCTTTGGAAAGACAAAAACCGCTCGAACAACTGAATCATTAAAAAGAGTAAATTGTAACAGCTAAGATGTAACATTTGAGTGAAACGTGTCAAGTCCCGTCAAACAGTAATAAAATGTTTTGGAGATGTCAAATCAAAGCAATAAATGATCAGAAAAAAAAGGATTCCAGGAAAAGGAGTCGAATTTAGGAAGAACTATTTTTAGCCCTTATGTTACGGTTTTTCCTAAAATTAAAAACATCAAGCATCCCGATTACTTTTGGCATAAATAGAGATATTGAGTGTAAGGATACGAGAACTTGTTAATCTGCTTGCTAAATCGAATATTACCGAGAAAGATTTCAGAGAAAAAAGTATTTTTACCGCAGCAGAACGTAAGGAAACGGTGCCATCAAACATTCCAATAGCGTACAGTTGACCATCACAGCTCCACGCACAGCAAACGCATCTGCTTGTTGTGCGTTGCTTGCTAACACTTTTCTCCAGCTGCGTCCACATGCCTGCAATCACTTGCATTTATCTGCAGGCTCGACAAATATAAGTATATATATGTATATATATATATATATATATACATATATATATGTTGTACATTTTACCTATACAGTGGGAGAGAAA